TCTGAAATGAATTCTTTTGCTACAAAAAGGGCATTATTCAAACATTTGGCCAAACTTGAGTGGGGTCAGTATATTGGAATTATACTAAACGGCAGTACAATAAAAGAAATACTCTAAGAGTATTTTAGCAAAACATGCTAATTCTATTGCATTGCATGGGTGAAAACCATTATTGAGAATATGATTTACCATATCCATTGTCTTATGAACCCATGGATATTGAATCTAGATACACAGGGGTATTTTTCATGTAGTTCATGGTTAAAGTATGCATTTACATGATCCCGTTGTTGTGTTTTCTGTTAATCAGTACACATATAATATTAATTATAATTAATAATTTTGAATGGATACCTGGGTAGTAACTCGAAGCAGGTAGGACAGGACTGGAGGAAGTAGGTCACTGGGATGTGCTCTTGGGGATTACATCTTGTCCCTGGCTCCTTGTGCTCTGTCTCTCTCCCTTCTTCCTGGTTGCCATGAATTGAGCCGCTTTTCTCCACCACGATCCTCTGCCATGAAGTCTCACTTTAGGCCCAGCGCAATGGAGTTGGCTGACTATGGACTGAAACTTCCAAAATCATGAGCCAAAATAAACTTTTCTTCCTCTAAGTTTTTATTGTCAGGCATTTTGGTCACAGTGATGAAAAGCTGACTAACATAGATGCATATCAGCTAATATTTATTGAGTATCCACTTTGTATATGATTTTAAATAAAAATGCCATTATTTACTTACTTACTCATTTATTTTTGCAGTGCTCGGAATCAAATTCATGGCTTCACATATGCTAGGCAAGTGCTCTACCACTGATCTATACAGCCCCTTGGAATTAGTTTTATTGTTTTCAAATGCCATCTTTTAAATATTTTACAAGCATTTGGGAATTTTTACCCCTGTGATGTTTCCTTATAAACAGTGGTAAATTGAGACCAACAGAAATTTTGTTATTCATAGAATTTGATCAAAGTTTCTATTAAAATGGATTCAGTTCTTTACAATGTAATAAAAAGAACAAAATGTCATTGCTCAGAATTGTAAATAGTCTATGATAAACGTTTTTTTTTAAAGAAAATTTAAAGTATATTGCAATTGTATTTTATGGCAATACAGTAAAGGAAATAACTGCCTTTTGGTAAGGTTTTAGCAAACATGCTGATTCTTTTGAAATGCATAGGTAAAAATCATTATTGGAGATACAATTGACCATATCCATTGTCTAATAAATCCATGGATATTGGATGTACATACTTACAGGTATGTTTTATGTAGTTCATAGCTAAAATATCCAGTCATGTGATTTCATTTTTGAATTTTTTGTTACTCTGTACACATATAGTATTAATGTTAAAAAAACATATTTGACTGGGAATATGGCTCAGTGATAGAGTATTTACCTAGTATGTATGAGGCCCTATGTTTGATTGCCAGCACTGCAAAAGAGCACACCGACAATAAAAAGAATCCCAACAAATTAGTAAACCAACAAACATTTTCTGGTAGAATGAAAATATGTGCAAAATGAAAGGTATTTCAATCAAGCTCAAGAAATCTCTTCAAAGTAGGTCATGCAATTTTCACACTGTCTGTGAGTTAAGCACTAGCTTGGCCCATAATTTAAAAAATATTTATCGTACTATGCACTAAAAAATGCATTAATGATGCTTGGGAGGCTAAGGCAAGAGGGTTGCAAGTTTGAAGCGAGCCTCAGCAACTTAGGGAGACCCTGAGCAACTTAGTGAGAGCCTGTCTCAAAATAAAAAGGGCTGAGGTGGTTAAATATCCTGCAGTACCAAGGGAAAAAAGAAAGAAAGAAAGGAAGAAAATAATACATGAGTACATTAACTAATATACTAATATACATAAAATATTATTTTATAAATTTCTTGTATATTTGTATGGGATGAGGCTGATTCTTGAAACAATCTCAAACTTATAGAAAAGTAGTACGTATAGTACAAAAATTATTTTCTTAAACTATCTGAGAGTAAATTGTCAACCTTGTCCCATTACCCACTAAAATTTGAGAATGTACTTTCTACAACTGGAACATTCTCCTACATAACCCGTGCACTACCATAAAAGTCTGGAAATTACTATTTGATACATTTCTACCACTGAATCTTCAGATCCCATTCAAATTTGGCCAAATGTTAGTATAATGTCCTTCTGAGCAAGAAGACCCATTTTGGAATCATGAGTTAACTTTTAGTTGCCATGTCTCTTTGTCTCCTTCAGTCTTATCTTAGTTCAGACTAAGCTGCTTGAACAATAAACATTTATTTCTCATAGTTCTAGAGACATGGTGGGAAAAGAGACAGATGGGAAGCAAGTCTTGTCTCTTAGGAAGGCACTAATACCATTCATGAGGGCTTCTATCACATGACTTGATTACTTTGCAAACCCTCCTCCAGTATGATCACATTGAAATTTAGGATTTCTACATACACATTTTGGACACAATATTTGGTTCATAACGAGTCCAAAACATTTCCTTGTCTTTCCATTATTTTCATGACATTAGTTGTTGACAATTACAGGGCAGTTATTTATATAATGTTCCTCAATTTTAGTTTTTTCTGATGTGTTTTCATAATTCAGGTTATGCATTTGGAAGGGACACTACAGAAGTGATGTCACAGTCATGTCACTGCATCCTGTCAGGTGGAGAGCACAGTTTACATTTGTCCCCTTGCTGATGTTGTTTACTTTGATTACTTGGTGAAGATGATATCTGCTTTACTTGTCAACTCTGAAGTTAATTTTCCCTTTTATAATCAATAAACATTTTGTGGGGAAATACTTTGAAATCATATAAATAATCTGTTTCTCATTAAATTGTCAATTTATTTACTTATTTTATATCAGTATGACTCACCATTTTCCATCAGTATGAAATCATAGCCTATTTTGATGGGCTAAAATTTATTGTTGTCATTATTTATTTTGATGTTAATATTACCTCTGATTTGGCCAGTCGGTTGGAACCTCTTCAAGCAGACTTTTCTGTTTTGTTTTTGTTTCTTTATTGTACACGTCTCCACCATTCTTTGAGAGCTCCCTTGATTTCTGGCATAAGATATTTTCAGGTTTTGTATTTTCCTCATCCCAGCTAGGGGACCAGTCATTTCTCCAATGTATCCTGGATCCTTTAAGCAGAGCCTGATATTAAGAAGGTCAGATTTGGGCCCTAGGATGTTCCTCACTATTGGGATATCAGACTTGCTCAGTGGACAGAGTTAGGGAGTATATATATATATATATGTTCATGTACACACTATACTTACACATTCATATCTATATTTATCTCTATCCACTTATATATTGAAAACTATTGCTTGCAATTCCAGTTTAACATTACAGGGGTTGTTTTCATTTTCTTCCTTTCCATATTTGCAACTCCCTTCTCTGAATATAACAAAATAGACTTCAATTATCCTTGACATATTTATTTGTCAATCCTCCTGTACAAAACCATTCTCCATGCTGCTGCTGCTGCCCTCTCTGTGCACATTTTATTTTTACCATCCTTGGGCTCCAACACTGCACTTTGGTATCCCCTTTCTATATGATGACTTCTTTACCTGGCTAGACTCCAACATCTCACAGTGTTCAGGTTCTGACTCCCCATGCCGGTTCACCCCTGGGAGACATCCTGCTGACCCCCATTAGGATTTGCCTTTCCATGCTGAGCTGCCTTCCCTTGTAGACACTGTCCTCCTCACATTCAGGGGCTAACTCCTCTCACCAGGCTGCCTCTCCGTGGGGATGCCTTTCTCACCCTGTTCATCGTATGATACCTCAGCCTGGGCCGTCACTCTGCAGAGGTATCCTCATGACTGTGCTGGGGTTCTGACATTGTACTCTAGGCTATTTCCTTTAGGGACATCCTTTTCACACTAAATGTTAAAGCCTGACCATGATGGAAAGGGACTCCCCAAAAGAAGGCAGGGTAGTGTGGGTATCAGAGACTGAGTGGGATGCGTGTGTCAGGCTCTGATGCTTGGCTTCAGAGCTGAACTGCCTCTTTGCATGGACCCCCTCTACAACTTGTGTAGGATTTGATGCTCTATTCTGACCTCATAGATGCCACCCCTGCATGAGCCTTTTCCTCCCCACTCTTGTGCTCTTATATCTTCACCCTGCTTGGCATTAAGGACTGAGACTCTCTTAAAAAAAAAAAAAAACCTAAATGGGAAGACTTGCTCTTTTTAAAAAATATTTTTATTTTTTAGTTGTAGTTGGACACAAAACCTTCATTTTACTTATTTATTTTTATGTGGCGCTGAGAATTGAACCCAGGGCCTCGCCCGTGCTAGGCAAGCGCTCTACTGCTGAGCCACGACCCCAGTCCCAAGACTTGCTCTTTTAGACATCAAAACTTATTATAAAGCTACAGTAAAGGATGTACAGGGGACTGGGCATATAGCTCAGTTGATAAAGTGCTCACCTTGCATGCACAAGACCCTGGGTTCAATCCCCAGCAGCAGCACCACCAAAAAAAAAAAAAGTGGATATACAGTATCAAGGCATTTGATATAAGACTAAGATGGCATGCAGAGCAAAGGGATAGAGTAGATTGCAATAAATGAAAAATTTCTGTTCTCTTTAAGAAGTCATTGTCTTCCACAAAGTCATAAAGGTATTTTACAATGTTACTATCCAGGAGCCACATTTTTCCTTTAATATTTAGAGCTACTATCCCTCCAAAATCAATTTTTATGTAATTCCCCACATAGAAAAAAAAAAAAAAGAAAAGAAATGTGTCTCCTACCAAAGCCTCAAAATAGCTAATTATATGGTAATTGGGGCAAATGGAAGATAATCCAGAATAATGTGGCACCCCCATCCAGTTTAAGAAATGCAATATGGCCAATACAGTTGACATCGCCAGTGTACTCTTCCCAATTGCACCCCCATTCTTCCTCTCCAGAAAAAGGAGTCATTATCCTAAGTGTATTAGTCAGGGTTTTCTAGAGGAACAGAACCAACAGGAAGTATAATTATAAAAAGGGCATTTATTAGTTTGCCTTATGCGACCAGAAGCTCAATAGTCCACAATGGCCATCTGCAGGCTGGAGAGCTGGGAGAACCGGCAGATGGGCAGTCCAAGAGGTTGAAGCTCCAGAACAAGAGGGATCAACTGTGTTGCCCTTGTCTGAAACGGAAGAATCATTGGCAGAGTCCAGGTTTGGAAGAATGAAGAAGTGATAATCTAATAGCCTCAGAAGATCGCAGCAGCAATCAAGAACCCCTTCAAAAAGAATGGAGCTTGCATCTGCTGAGGCTTTTTTTTCCTTCCAAGTTTTATTCCATCCAAGCCATGAGCCTATTGGCTGATGCTGCCCACATTTAGGGAGGGTTCCATTTTAGTTGGCTATCCTACACGTCAATCATTCCTAGATGCACCCTCATAGACACACCCATAAATTTCTTAATCCTTAGCTTCTCTTAATCCAATCAAGTCAACTATTCAATTAGCCATTACACTAAGTTTGGTGTTTATCATTCCTATAAATACCTTAAAACTTTATGGTGCTGAAAGGAGTGTTCAAAAAAAGTTGAAGCTACAGTTCCATCAAGGATTGACTGCAGAAGTGTTGACTTTCACCTGATGCAGGGGCACCCATCTGAGAAGACCGAGATGGAGAAGAAACAAATCTTCAACTATAACCATGTTTGCTCTGGAATGGAATAGAAACTTAGTTAGTTTCTTGGCTAGCAGGTCCATATTACAAATCATCCAAGTGAGATTTTGGAAACAAGATTTCAGAGAAAAAGGGCTTTTGGCTCTGTTTTGTAAAGAAGGCAGATGTTACCACAATGCTATTAAATGTTATTATGGGTCTAATAATGGGACAACAACAGCATTTAGTGGTTAATCTCTCTCCAAATCTTTCATGAAAATGGAACTCTTGAAAAATTATGAGGTTCTCAAGGGGCCTTTACAGGAAGCACAATTATGAAATTATTTAGACATTTTAATTGACATTATTAATTAAACATTTTAATTGACATAAATTCAACCTTAAGGCATTATTGAGAAGTTAAAATGATAAGTGGGAATTAAGCTGCATTTGGATATGTACATTTCATTCATTTATTGATGTATTTATACTTTTTTTTTTATTGCTATAGCAAAGACTGACTAGGTGAGGATCAAACGATTTTTTTTCATTCTTGTTTTTTTTGGGGGGGCAGATACCAGGGATTGAACTCATGGGCATTCAACCACTAAGTCACATCCCCAGTCCTATTTTGTATTTTATTTAGAGATAGGATCTCACAGACTTGCTTAGCGACTTGCTTTTGCTGAAGCTGCCTTTGAACTCATCATCCTCCCGCCTCAGCCTCACAAGCTTCTGGGATTTAAGTTGTGCACCACTGCGCCTGGCCAATTTTCTTTCATTCTTTATATATATAGTTGTAGATGGACACAATACCTTTATTTTGTTTGTTTATTTTTAGGTAGTGTTGAAAATCGAACCCAGTGCCTCACATGTGCAAGACAAGTGCTCTACAGCTGAGCCATAGCCCCAGCCCCTTCTTTCATTCTTGAGACCACAGATGAACCATATTTTTTTTTAGCATCCCTTGGCATAAGATGTGAACAATGAATGAGCTCTGGCCAATGAGATTGAGTGGAATACTCCATTCCCAAATTTGACCTATTAAATCTCATGTGTGATCTTCCACTCCCATGTGCCAGGCTAATCAAAAGGGGATTCCAAGAACTTTGGAGGTGGAGGGGCTTAAGGATGGAGCTCAGATTTTTGATAGACTGATACAGCAGGGCTTTCCTGGCTGGCCTCAGCTTGACTCTGCCATAAGAGAACCAAACTTTCATTTTCTTAAGCTCCTTTTTTGCAATTTATTATTTAATAAAACAAAACAAAACAGCAGTTAGTCTTTCCTAATCAATGCAAATGCAATGCCTGTTCTGTGTCAACTCTCATTTTGAATACTAGGGATACAATGGCAAACAAGAGAGACTTGTATAGGATTTCTATTCCAGGAGGTCATACTTTATACCAGGCGAGGCTGATGATAAGTAGTAAGAACTTACATTTTTATGGTGTTTTACAGTTTATAAAGTATTCTCATAGGCACCAATTCATTTGGCTTTTATAACAATATTTCACAGATGAGGAAACAAAAGTTCAAAGAGCCTAAGCATCTTTCATCAAACAGGAAAGAGACATATGACTCCGTTTTCTTCACTCACAACCCATTGTTCATACCCCTGAACCAGGATGCTTCTCAAATATGAAGACAAGACAAGAGCAATGAAAACTCTAGACCTTGTCAGAAGGTTTCATTAAAAATTTTTTAATTTTTATGATACTGGGGATTGAACCCAGGAGTGCTCTACCACAGGGCCATATCCCCAGTCCTTTTTCTTTTTTGAGATAGGGACTCACTAAATTTCCCAGGCTGATCTTGAATTCAATATCTTCCAGGCTCAGCCTCCACAGTTGCTGGGATTACAGGTGTGCATCACTTCAATTATGCCCAGTTCAATTTTATTTTTTAAAATAAGGTATTATGCAGAGGTATGAGGATCCCTGTGGCAACACTAACTGTAAGAGCAAAATATGAAACCCAAAGTAGATGTCCATCAACAGGAGAATGGGAATATATACATTGTGGTATATTCAGATAATACAATGTTATATGGTAGGGAAAATAAAACCAATTAGAGCTATAAGTGTCAGTAAGGATGAATTCTCTGGGCAAGAGTTGTGACTCAGTGCCTGGCACGAAGCACTGAGTTCGATCCTCAGTACCACATAAAAATAAATAAATAAAATAAAGGTATTTAGTGTCCATGTAAAACTAAAAAAAATTTAAAAAAGGGTGAATCTTCTGATCATGATCAAGAATGATGAAGGCAAGACTGCATACAGTTATAATGTCACTTGTGAAGTTTAAGATATTTATGGGAATGTTAAATACAAAATTTAGGAAAATAACTCCCATTTCTGGGGAAGGCAAGGGAGTACAATTGGGGTGAGTATGCTGGGGACTTCAACTGTATTGCCTATATTGCATTTCTTAAATTGGATGAGGGTGCCACATTATTCTGGATTTTCTGGCATTTGGCTGTCTGAATTCATTTCCCGCCCTTCTGAATTCTGCATTATGCCCAGGGAAGCTATCTTGTGTGGTCTACTATAGATGAATGGGCTCCTTGTTCTAGTTTTCAGAAGACTGGAAATTGGGGGAAGAATGAGGTCCTAACATTATGGTGGCCTTGGACTGGTAAGGTTTCTTAACCAAAGGTCATAACTCCTGTTAGGAGGCCTCTACCTAGCTCTCTGAAGATCTTGGTAATTGCCCAGTTCCCTCATTCTTTCAGATCTAAGAATGGAGATGTTACCTCATTGTTAACATTAATTTATTGGATCATTCCCTATGTTTTGTGTGTGTGTGCATGTGTGTTGCTGGGGATTGAACCCAGGGCCTTGTGCATGCAAGGCAAGCACTCTACCAACTGAGCTATATCCCCAGCCCTTCTTATGGGGGATATATATCTTAAGCTTTTTTAAAAATATATTTTTAGTTGTAGATGGACATAATATCTTTATTTATTTATGTGGTGCTGAAGATCGAACCCAGTACCTCACATGTGTGAGGCAAGTGCTCTGCCACTGAGCTACAACCCCAGCCCTCCTTATGCTTTTTAGATTCTGCCCATGCCTTGATTTATTGTCACTTTATTAAACTCTTTACTCCCTAAGTAATCGAGCTCAATAGTTCATCTCTTTCTTTCTGGGTTCTGATTAATAGAATAAATACTCTCTCCCTTTCTCTTTTTCTCTCTAAAAACAAATCTTTTTTCTCTTCACATTTTGAAATAATTCATAATCTGAAAATCAAGAAGGAAAAAACTTTTATTGAGTACCTATTTTATTTCAAGCACCATGGTTTGGTTAAAGGTTAGGGATAGAGTGGAAAACAAATTAAGTCTGTCATTACATGAAGTTACAGTATTGTAAGATAGAAAGGTTAAAAAAAATAAAAAAGGAATGAACTACAGTGGTTAAGAACACGGGGTGTGAGCAGGGCACGGTGATGTGCACCTACAATCTCAGCTACTGGGGAGGTTGAGGGAGGAGGGCCCAGCCTGGGCAACTTAGTGGGACTCCATGTCAAAATAAAAAAGAAACCAAACCCATGGAATTTCTAGCCAGACAGAGCTGAGCTCAAGTTCAGGCTGTCACCTCCTAGTTACTTGACCCTGAGTTACAAAAGTTAAAAATGGGATTAATACTGCTACCTTTCTCATGGTGTGCTAAGAGCCATAGCCAAATAGTAATGCATTTTTGGTTGAAAGGTGACGCCAGCAAGCCATTGAGATGATATGATTATGTTAAGATCTGCATTCAAATGGATATTAGACCCCTGCTGTCCACCTCAGCCTGCTACTTTGGAGCTCTAGCAGGACTCCCAAAGCGTTCCCATTGGTTGGGAAAGTGCAGTAGGAGGGAATTCCGGAGGAGGGATTTGCTGTTGGGGTAGTGTGGCCCGGGAGAAGGCAGTGTGTGTGGGTCGGCATATTTTCCTGGGAGCATACAGGGCATTGGCGGGAGTTTAAAAAATAAAGTTTGTTCCTGTTTGAGTGGCTCGTGATTTTGTGCCCAGCCAGACTGCGGCAATAGTGTAGTTGTAAGGGTTAAAAATAAAACCACTGCCAGGTGTGGTGGCTATGCCTGTAATACTTGTAATCCTAGCGGCTGGGGAGGCTGAGGCAGGAGGATTGTGAGTCCAAAGTCAACCTCACAACTTAGTGAGACCCTGTCCCGGTCTCAAAATAAAAGAAACATAGTTTTTCATCTTACTATATCCTGGGATATCTTTTTTTTTTTGAGGAGAGAGAGACAGAATTTTTTAAATATTTATTTTCTAGTTTCCGGTGGACACAACATCTTTATTTTATTTTTTATGTGGTGCTGAGGATTGAACCCAGCACCCCGTGCATGGCAGGCGAGCGCGCTACCACTTGAGCCACATCCCCAGCCCAATCCTGGGATATCTTAAATCCTTAATAAATTAACAAATGTTAGCAAAAATTGTTGTTAATTAGCACTTTGTACTGAGTTTAGAGGTAGCACAGAGGTGACACTGATTAACTAGAGTTGAGGTCAGCAAAAGTTTAATGGGTAAAGTGGTGTTGGAGCTGGATTGTAAAGGAACAGTAATTTTATCCAAAGATCAAATGGGAAAAGGCAGTCCAGGTAAAGGGAATAGCATGTGCAAGTACATGAAAGAATGAAACAGCACTATGAGTTCAGGAAACCAGGAGCAGTTAGCTATTGCTAGGGGGTTAGACATAAGGCCTAGACATAAAGAATAGCGAGAGTAGAGGCTGAGGTAAGCCAGGGTTAGACCCAATTTGGTTTGGATTTACAGGTGATGAACATCTAGGAAGTACCTCACCTCTATCACATTCATTTTATTCATTTTCTCTCTCCCATTATAAGCACACACAATGTATACTTAACTACACCATAATGTACAAGTCAGAAGATGATAAGGATACACTACAAACTAATTTTCTTTCTAGCAGAAACAGTTATTTTTTCCTCCTGGTATAAATTCCAACCCATGATCACAGGTTGCATCTAGTCATGTCTCTTTAGTCTCCTTGGATCTGGAACAGCTTTTAGAATACTAGCATTTTGAAGAGCCCAGGTCAATTATACTGTAGACTCTTCAGTATGGTCTTTCAGATATATCCTCATGATTAGAATCCATTATGCATTTTTGGTAGAAATGCCACAAAAGACATACTGCATTCTTCTGTGATTTATATAAGGAGGGGGTATGAAATAAATTTGCTCTTCATTGGTGATTTTCACTTTGATAACATTGTTACAAGAGTATCTGGTAGGTTTCTCCACTGTAAACTTATCTTTCCTTATTAATTGATAAATGTTCTTTAGGGAATTACAATGAGTTATGGAAAAAAAAGGCAAACCATATAAAGAACAATAGACAGTAAAAATCCTCTGATGCGGCAATTCCACTTTTTTAAGTATATATCTTAAGTAAGGATGTATGCAGAGATCTAGCTAAAATTATATTCATTGAAGCCTTATGGTAAATAATTATTAAAAATAATGCCAAGTTTCTATTATTAGTGGATTTGGTTCAGTAATATCCAATATTATGCAGCCATTAAAATTATGTGATAAAAGAGTATTTAGGGGGCTGGGATTGTGGCTCAGTGGTAAAGTGCTTGCCTCACATGCGTGAGGCCCTGAGTTCGATCCTCAGCACCACATAAAAATAAAATATATTGTGTACACCTATAACTAAAATTTAAATATTAAAAAGAGTATTTGGGAATAATACTCATTCATGGCATGGTTCAATTTTTAAGAAAAAATATTTTATATATACATATAAATGTTATTTACCTACATGTATATACACACAGTTATTGAGTTTTTGCTTATGTGTATATGAATATTTTTATTGTTTGATTTCATTCTTATATATAACGCTTATAGAGCAAAACAAAGTTATTAAAAAGTAATATAAGCTTTTCTGGCGTATTAAACATGAAAGTTAAAAAAATAACAAAGTTCACGGCATTAGTTGGTGATCAATAAATACCAGTTTATCTTTTCGAGTGACATATTCAAGCACAACTTAGAAAATGGCAGATCTGGAATGTAGTTGACGTTTTAAGGCAACAGGTTTGCAGCTTATAACCCTTAAAACTTTTTTCATAATTAACACAATTTTCCCCTCTTCTTAGATAGTCAACTAGGATAATATAAGAATTGAGTGTATTAATATGTGGTATTTGTGTTATTAGCATCATACATTTTGAACGGCGTGCGGTGGTGTGTGTAAAAGTAAAAAAAAAAAGAAAATAGGGAGGACAGATGCAAACCCCAGCTCGCCGCCCCATTGACAGCTCAGTGATCCTCCTTTCAGTGGCAAGCGGTGGTCCTTAGGCCTCAGAACAAACACTACCGGTGAGAAATAGAAAAGGAAATTACTTTCCACGGAGCGGCCGGTAGAACCAAAGCAGAAGAGCGGAGCGCCCTTTTCATCTGCCTCTGGGTTTGGAGACGTGCAGGGCTCTAGAGCCTTGGTGCGTAAGGACGTCCGAGTATGGGTCTCCAGGGCACCGAGAAAGGGCGCGGCGTGACCACCTCTCTTCGCTGACCCCACCTGGCCGACACCGCCCCGAGCCGCGAGGTTGGGATAGCAGCGTGCAAACGCAGAACTGCGCAGACCCGGCGAAAATCGAGGCTGGACTCCCCAGCCTCCCCCACGTGCGCACAGCCCCGGAGGCGGGGGAAGGCGCGGGGAGGGGTGGGAAGGCGCGGGGAGGGGTGGGAAGGCGCGGGGAGGGGTGGGGAGGAGAGGGCGGGGCGCCAGCTGCGCGCGCGGGGCGAGGGCGGGGCGCGCAGCGTGATCCGGGCCCGGCCTGCGCTCCTCCCCCTTCCGCGCCCAGGCCCGCAGCGGGCCGAGCTCCTCCCCCGACTCGGTCGCTCTCTCCTCCCCTTTGCCCTGCCGTTCCTCCTTCCCTCCCTCCTCTTCCTCGGTGAGGCGCTCCTCCGGCAGGCAGGCAGCATGGCGGCCGTGGAGACGCGGGTCTGCGAGACGGACGGCTGCAGCAGCGAGGCCAAGCTCCAGTGTCCCACCTGCATCAAGCTGGGCATCCAGGGCTCGTACTTCTGCTCGCAGGTAGACCCCGCTCCCCCAGAGCGCTGCCTGCTCTGCGGACCCCTTTCCTCCTCTGCCTTCGTCTCCCCTCGCGCCCTCGCGGTGGTTCGGGTCGCGCTCCTCCTCTTCCCGCGGCTGCGTTTCCTCTTACCCCACCCCCGCCGCCCGCCGCCCGCCGCCGCCCCCTCTGGGTTCTCAGGGTCCGGGGCCCTGGGGACTCCGGACGCAGGCGGGGGCGGGGACGCGGTCAGCCGCGGCCATGCAAGCTGAGGGCGGAAGCCGACTTGCCCCGGGTGGCCCGGCAGCCCCAGGGCGACGCGTTTAGGGGCCGGTTCCGGCCGCGCATCCTCCGCGGGGTCGGTGACGCCAGGTGTGGGCAGCTCGGCTGCCCCGCGCAGGTAGGGGGAAAAGGGGCAGCCCGAAGTGGTTAAGCCGCATTCCCGCAGGGCTCCGGTCAGGGGCGTGGGGGCTTCGGGCCGGCTGTGTCTGGTGTCGTCCGGGTTAAGGGGCGGGAGCGACCCGCTGGGCTTGGGGGAGTGGGTTGCCTCAGGACAGCTGGAGCGGTGGAGAGGGGCAGAGCTAGACCCAGCCCCACTTCTTTGTGTAGTAATCTACCGCGTTTTGACACTCAAGCAACTTCGGGGTGAGGGTAGAAAGGGGTTTGTGTAATTCATTCTTTAGGCATCCAAAATTATTAATTTAGAAAACCTTAACGGGATGACTCACTTCTCCATGACAATTTCCCACGGAGTGAGGAGGATAGCTCAGGTGAGGGTTTTGCTTTAAGGCCATAGTGTATTTTACTAAGTTTTGTTCAGCGGAGCACACCCAGCTTTGCATGGGGGTACCGACTGAAGCGTGTGTTCCAGTGTTTGTGTTTACGGAGGAATGCTAGTGTTTCTGCTGTATTTCGAGACTCAGGGCGGCAATAGTTTTGGTTCTAAGTTAGAGTCTAGGTTTGTTGAAGAGAGGCACATGAATATTCAAATATTAAATTGGTAGTTTCCTGGGTGGAGAAGAGTGGGTCAGAGTTCAGAGGCCTGATGTTGGCGCTGTCCTTACCAATTTCTGTGCGATCTTGAATTAGTGAACTTAATTTTAATTAATCTTTCTGAGTTCCAGCGTTTGTCTATATAGAGTGGATGATAGTTGTTCGGAGACCTAGATTATCCCTTTGAACGTGAAGTGCTGGGTACAAAGTAAGGCTTTTCGTTTTTAAAAGGATGATAAGTAGAATTTAACACTGCCATATATAAAGTGTAAATAAGAATGAAAACAATGTATTAATATAAGTGAGTATTTTCAAATATAAAATATATAAAAACCAAAGATATATGTAAAAATAAAAATACAAATAAAATCCTTAAGGTCATAACACTTGTTAGATAAGCCATTCTGAGAGATCTTAGCTGTTATGTAGGTCTTGTTTTTAGATAGGATATGATCCTTGACCTTGTTGGTATCGTTTGGAAAAACTTGCACAAGGAGAAGTGTTGCTTTGAGCTAAAAATAGCATTGGGGCTACTCAACATGCTAAACCTGCCACAGGTCCTCTTGATTCTTTAAGGTTCTCTAATTAGTTGAGGCTTGTGTGGGATATGGACTTAAAACAAAACAAACAAAACAAAACAAAAACAATAGTTTGCTTTGGACAATTTGTGTACTATGTGTGTAGAATAATGTGGTTTACAACATGATTAAATTTGGTGACATGTTTGTGATGATAAATTAATTAATATGTACTGACACTTCTCTGTTAGAAATTTAAAAAGATACTAGGAAGCCATATTTATCAAGTGTAACTAATTGTCAGAAAGAACATTGAATCATTTGTGGAAAAATGCCAGACACATTGGTGAAAGCAGGAAGGACTTATTTGTATTGTAGGATTGGGGGAACTCCATATTGGATTCTGCATGTGTATTTCTGGTACCACTATTCTATCTCATATCCAGAGTGGCTCTCAGCTTTATTCATTCTTATTACCACCTCCTATAGTCAGTTTTTAAAATTTGTCACAAAGTCAGTTGTTGTAGCCTCTTCATTAATTTCTCTGCTGTAATTCCTCACCTTGCAAACACACTCCAAAAGAAAACAAACAACAACAAAAACAACCAACCCAAACAAGACTTTTGTATAGAAGTTATTTTCCCCACAGTCTGATTGTGTTTATCTTCATAATAGAGTTCCCATTGCTTTCAGAATTTTGTTCCCACCATTAAGGTACCTCCTGTGTCTAGCCTTATTTCCTTGTGCCAGTCAGGGGATATCTTTGTAGTCTTATCTTATCCAAAATATCATTTGTCATCTGATATTATAGTTAATTCAGTCCTAGCTTGAGATCTTGATCAGTCAAGTCACTGTAACTTTTCTTAAGCTTGTTTCCACATCTGTGATGAAACCAAGACTTTCCCTTGCCACTTCTCTGATCATTTTCACTAGAAGTGGCCTATCTTCTCTTTGTCCCTATCCTGCCTGGCCCGTCTTTGGCAGTAAATAGAAAACAACTATAAGATGCCTTTAACACCATAAGATATGTAAACCTTTTCCAGTTACTTTGTCAAATCATCTTTTTATTTCCTTTGTAACATTTTATAGTCTGTAATTATCTTATTAGAAAACAGATATGAATGTCTTTCAATCAAAAGGTGAACTTCATGAATAAGCTATCTTGTTTATTATCCTATGCTCATTTCCTAATGATACTCCGTGTGTAACAAGTGGTCAACATATGTTTGATTGAATCAATGAATAAAAGTGTTAAGCAGAATAGAATAGAGGGTAGACTGCTATTTGAGTTACAGCTCCACCCTTTACTAGCTAGATGACTTTGGGCAAATAAAATTTGTTTTTATATTTTCTTTTTAAAATGGAACCATCAGCAGTACTTAGGGTTTTGGTAAAGACTAAATGCTAAGCATGTAAAGCACTTAACACACAAACTTGATAAATATTAGCATTTTATTGTTATACTGGGTTTTATGTTTAAGAAGATAGAGATATATAAGGGCTTAATTTTAAGAAAAACTTATATGAGTAAAACATGTTTCACTTGAAATTGAACTTTCCAAAAGTTCCTTATGTTTGATTGTGTTTCTTGAAATGTTCATTCTTATTAAATTAATAGTAGTTATATATTTTTAGTTATATATAAGGTTTTTTGGAGATAAAGTCTGTGCTTTGCTCATTTTTGTATTTTCTGAAGCATTTTGAGCATAGTAGGTTCACAGTTCATTAAGTAAAAAACAAAAACCAAAAAAACAATTGACTTGCTATGGAAAGCAAAGAATTCTGCATTTACATTATCCATTATACAGACAATAAAATACTGGGTTAAGAATGTACTGTCATTTATTTACTTGTGATTGAATTTAATTTCTTTTAAGTTTTTTAGCTGCTGCTTAATTTAGCAACTGTCCTGTGATGATGCTTGCTGTCTTGTTCTGAGTTAAAGGATCAGTTGGAAAGGACCTGAGTGATATGTAACCATTTATGCTTAATAGAAAAGGGATAGTAAAGGTGGGCACACACCTGTAGTACCAGGGGCTTGGGAGGCTTGGGTGGAAGGGGTTGTTTGAGCCCAGGAATTAGAGACCTGAGTAGCATAGTGAGAGACGCAACCCCCCCCCCCGCCCCCCAAAAAAAGGGAAGAAAGAAAGAAGATAGTAAATATAATGTAATTTTGGAATCTTTACTCTCATGTCCTTGGTTGAGATATCTCCTGATTTGTAAGAGAGGTTTATTGGAGTGTCCTATTCTTGGAGTTGAGGGGAGGGGTGAGTAAGAGGGAGCATGCTAAGTGCCTAGCACAGTGTTCCATAAATTATTTTATTATGCCTACAGCCTCATACATTATTAAATCAGTTAATTTTATACCTAAAGAAGGTATCAAAGATGTTTGAAGGGAAGTATTATTTATTTATGAATATTTGGACAAATTCTTGTTTCAAGTTCTTTGAAAGAAGAGGTGGTAAAGTAATGTGATTAATTAACTCTCCAGGAAGCCAACATGCAGCAGCTTTGAAATGTAGCCCAGCCCTCTGAAACTGTTTCTTTTTCAGCAACAAAGTTCCTGACAATGCAGAGTATTTCTGGAACTTGTCTTTATCATCAATAGAAATATTACATATTGTGCTTTTTAAATTTCTAGGCATTTTCTTTAAATTCCTCACGTTCCTAGATAATGCTGCAAGTTAGGCGAATTTGGGTACAACTGTCAAGAGTTTAAGTAAAAGCACAGGACAAGGTATAGAAGGATTGTTTTATTTTTTAAGCAAATAATTTTACTAATTGTTTATTGCATAAAAATAGAAAATGTAGGTTAACAATTATGCAGAGATAATTTCTGGGAACTTTTTAGTTTTTATCCTTGTATGAACATGTTTGTATATTGTTACACACATTTGTATGCTTATGTTTATATATGTTTTTACAGAAATGATGCCATGATGTACATAATTGTAGGGGATTTTTTTCATCCTTATATCTTAACCAATATATTGGGAGTATCATGTTGTGGTTAAATTTATGTTATCTTCTGTAAAGGATGAGGTAAATTGTTATTCATAAACTGTCATTTATTCACTGATTATTGACTTGAGTTTTTTCCACTTTTTTAAAATGCTATTTACTCTTCAATAAGTTCTTGTAAAATTTAAGTAATATTTATTTATTGAGTGTAGAATAATAGAACTGATGCATGAACCCAGATGGAACAACTCCAAACTGAGTCTATGTCCTTATCAAGCACACAGTTCTCACAGAATAGTTGGTGCAAGAGCTTTCTTGTAGTCAGTGGGGTTTTGGCATGACTTATTCTTATCATAGAACTTGTAAATAGTGAACATTATTTTTGTTGGTAGGAATCAGACAAGTCTTAACTTTTTAAAAAATGTTTTATTAGTTGTTGGTAGACCTTTATTTATTTGTATGTGGTGCTGAGACTCCAACCCAGTGCCTCACACATGCTAGGCAAGTGCTTTACCACTGAGCCACAACCCCAGCCCCACAAGTGTTAACTT